GGCCTACCTCAAATGTTCGAACTCTTACTTTCTTATTGAAAGCACGAGTCATTCTCTGTTGATACAGCTGGCCATGACAAACGGCACTCATTCTTTTCTCATCAATCAATGCCAATTGCTCATATCGGTCACGAATCCATTCGGCATCGCTCAATCCAGCTTCCTGAATAATCCTTAAAGATGGTATCTCAACTTCAGCTGGTATCACTGCTTCTGTTCCGTATACCAATAGGTAAGGAGTTGCTCCAGTGGAGGTTCGGATTGTGGTGCGGTAGCCTAGCAAAGCATAAGGCAAATTTTCATGCCAACATTTGTAGTTGTCAATCATCTTTCTCAGTATCCTCTTGATATTCTTATTAGCAGCTTCCACAGCTCCATTCATTTGAGGACGATATGCAGTTGAATTACGGTGGGTAATTTTGAATTGTTCACATATCTCTTTCATCAAGTGACTATTCAGATTTGCTCCATTGTCTGTGATGATAGACTCTGGAACTCCAAAACGACATATCAAATTGTTGCGAACAAAATCGGCCACAACTTTCTTTGTCACAGCTTTGTAGGAAGCAGCTTCGACCCACTTTGTGAAGTAATCAATGGCGACCAAAATGAACCTATGACCATTGGAAGCAGCAGGCTCAATCGGTCCAATAACATCCATGCCCCAGGCTGCAAATGGCCAAGGGGAACTCATCGCATTAAGCTCGTAGGGTAGTACTTTGATCAGATCTCCGTGTACCTGACATTTATGACATTTTTGGACAAACCGACCACAATCATTTTCCATAGTCATCCAGAAGTATCCTGCCCTTAAGATTTTCTTTGCTAATGTAAACCCATTCATGTGCGTCCCACACACTCCAGCGTGCACTTCTTCAAGCAATTTTGTGGCTTCTACAGCATCCACACATCTCAGTAATCCCAGATCAGGTGTCCTCTTATAAAGAACTTCTCCATTCAAGAAGAAGTTGTTTGTCATTCTTCGGATTGTTTTCTTTTGAATACTTGTTGCTTTTTCCGGATATTCGCCAGCTTCTAAGTACTTTTTTACATCGGTATACCATGGATTCCCATCCCATTCTGCTTCCACATGTGAACAATGTGCTGGTTGTTCTTTTAAAACTATCTCAAGTGGATCGATATAACTTTTTCTGGGTGTTGTATCAGGACGATATGGTTGCAAGGGCATCAGCAAGCTCGTTTTGTATTCTCGGTGTGTGTCTGAACTCGGTCTTCCTAAATCTTTTGCATAATCTCTGCACCAATTGTACGTATGGTAAGATTTTAGGATTCTTCACCGCCCATTCTCCTTGAACTTAATGAATCAACAAGTCTGAATCACCAATTATCAGTAATTCTTGAACATTCATGTCAAGAGCCATTCTAATGCCAAGAATACACGCTTCATACTCAGCCATGTTATTAGTGCATCGGAATCTAAGCTTTGCTGTTGCTGGATAATGTTGCCCCGATTCAGATATCAACACTGCTCCAATTCCTGATCCTATAGAGTTTACTGCTCCATCAAAGAACATTTTCCACCCAGGATATGATTCTGATATGTCTTCCCCTACAAACAATACTTCTTCATCTGGGAAATATGTTCTAAGTGGTTCATATCCTTCATCTACTGGGTTTTCAGCAAGGTGATCTGCCAAAGCTTGTCCCTTGATTGCTTTCTGAGTCATGTACACAATATCGAACTCACTCAACAACATTTGCCACTTTGCTAGCTTTCCTGTGGGCATTGCTTTTGAAATATGTACTTGAGCGGGTCCATCCTCGAAATGAGATGTGTTGTATAAGCTGATAGATAATGTCTCAATTTCTGAGCAACCCAAGTCAAAGCACAACAAGTTCTCTCTAAAAGGGTGTAACGGGCCTCATATGACGTGAACTTCTTGCTCAAATAGTATATAGCTTTCTCCTTTCTTCCGGTCTCATCATGTTGTCCCAACACACACCCGAATGCATTGTCAGAGACGGATAAATACAATAGCAAAGGACTGCCTGCACGTGGTGGCACCAACACTGGTGGATTTGAAAGGTAACTCTTGATGGTGTCAAAAGCCTTCTGACATTCTTCGGTCCATTTGGTTGGCGCATCTTTTCGTAGTAACTTGAATATGGGTTCACATATCACCGTCGATTGAGCTATGAATCGACTGATGTAATTCAGTCTCCCCAGAAAACTCATTACTTCTTCTTAGTCTTTGGAGGAGGTAAGTCTTGAATTGCCTTGATCTTGGAAGGGTCAAGCTCGATACCTCTTCTGCTAACTATGAATCCGAGTAACTTTCCCTGCAGGCACTCCAAATGCACATTTGGCTGGATTCAACTTCAAATCATACCTACGTAACCTGTTAAATAACTTTTCCAAGTGTGTCAGGTGATTCGAACTCTCGCGGGATTTTATGATGACATCGTCCACATACACCTCAATTTCTTTGTGGATCATATCATGGAAAATGGTGGTCATAGCTCTCATATAGGTGGCTCCAGCATTCTTGAGGCCGAACGGCATCACTCGATAATGGTAGACTCCCCAAGGTGTGATGAATGCTGTTTTTTCTGCATCTTCTTCATCCATTAGAATCTGGTGGTATCCCGCAAACAATCTACAAAAGATTGCAGCTCATGCTTAGCGCAATTATCGATGAGTATGTGGATGTTTGGCAAAGGGAAATTATCTTTCGGACTTGCTTTTTAAGATCCCGATAATCCGCGCATATCCTGATTTTTCCATCTTTCTTTGCCACTGGAACAATGTTAGCCAACCAAGTGGGATACTTGGTCACTTCAACGACTTTTGATTCGATCTGCTTCATGACCTCCTCTTTTATCCTTAAACTCAGATCGGGCTTGAACTTTCTGGTTTTCTGTTTTACTGGGCAGTACTCTGAATTGATAGGCAGCTTATGGGAAACAATATCAGTGCTTAACCCTGGCATATCATCATAAGCCCAGGCAAACACATCGATGTATTGTCTGAGCAGTTTGACCAATTCTTCTCTTTCTGTTGCTGCCAAATGAACACTGACTCGGGTTTCTCTGATCGACTCGTCATCTCCCAAGTTTACTGTCTCTGTTTCATCTAGGTTGGGCTTTTTATCGTCTTCAAGTTGCCTCAAGTCCTCGGTAAGGTGTTCAGGCATCATAGTTTCCTCATCATATTCTTCACACTCATCGTCATCGACCTTACTTGGTTCGCCGTGTTCGTGACATGTCATGACATTGGCAGGTTTAGATTCATTTTTACTGAAAAGAACAACAAATCAACCATGTTAGATGGAAAGAGTTTAAATGTATTTGTTGCAGAATAATTCGCAATGACAAGATAATCAATTTAAACTAAACGAGGCTTTCATTGGAATTTTAAAAGGCGTACAAACTTTGGTCATGACTCATGAGTCATTTCCTTTTTAAACATTACGATGAAAAATAAAGTGACATAAATGGTGGTTTCGGGCCTCGTCCGAACAACACCGATTTTCAAAAATAAACTTCAAATCTTGTCTTTGTCTACCAAGCCATTCGATGGATCATAAGTGGAGTGGCCATCCAATTCTGCAGCGTCTCTCCAGGTCCGGCATCTCGGATGGTAGGTGTTGTTGTGCATTCTGTCGAGATCACAGCACAATCTTCTTCATCAAACAATCTTCCCATCCCTTCCACTAGATCATCAATCTCAGGCTCTAAAGCTTTCGCAACAAATGACTGGTACAATACTGGAATAGGCTTCGGTATATCACAGTCATGTTTCTTCCTTGTTTCTGCTTCAAACAATTCTTCCTCTGTTGGGGCATAACCGATACCGAATCGAAAATTTTGAATGGTATAGGAAGAGGTTCGGATATGCCATCCAAATTCTTGCATAACCCACGCCCAGGTTCAAAACCACTTCTCAGCATAGTTGTGGCTAGCATTTTATACATTGCGGCATTGGTACTTGCAATGTCGTATCTTCAAAAGTAGCATTCATTATCTCCACCATGTGAAAGTCAGTTTTCTGAGAAGACTCTTCGATAACTGGAATGGAGAAACCAGGGTACCTACAGTCACTCCCTTCACCATGGATGACAATTTCATGGTCCTCCCAAATGAACTTCAAAAGTTGATGCAATGTGGATGGAACTGCTCCAACAGCATGGATCCATGGTCTTCCTAGCAATAAGTTGTAACTTGTAGATATACCCATCACCTGGAATTCAGTGACAAATTCTGCAGGCCCCATTTGGATACACAAGTCTACTTTCCCCATGGTCTCTCTTTGCGAACCATCAAACGCCCTTACATTCATGCGGCTTTGACGGATTTTCCCTACATCATAATTTAGCTGAGTCAGGGTTGATAATGGGCAGATATTGAGCCCTGAGCCATTATCAATCAATACTCGAGCTACAAACTTATCCCTGCATTTGACGGTGATATACAAGGCACGGTTGTGCATAACCCCTTCGAGTGGCAACTCTTCTTCTCGAAAGAGATTTGATGACACCCAATGACATGACTTACCATGGCGGCCAGATTTTACCATTTGTTCCTGTCGGCACGTATGCTTCATCAAGTACCTTCAACAGTGCTTTTCGATGGTACTCAGAACTCATTAATAGAGCCCAAACAGAAATTTGAGCGGGAGTCTTCTCCAAATGCTTGACAATGGAATACTCCTTAGGCTGCATTCTTTGCCAAAACTCTTCAGCCTCACCCTCTGTGATCGGCCTTTTCTGGTTCTCCTTTCTTCGTGTCTCCTGAGTTAGTTCTTCTGGAATGTAGCATCTTCCAGAGCGTGTCATCCCTTGTGCGGTGGCCGCCTGGACAACAACCTTTCTTCGAATGCTCATGTTTTTTTCCTTCACCAAAGCAAATGCCTGATGAGGTGCAGTTATTACAACAAACTCTGGCGGGCCTTTATGGTCAATGAGGCCACTGTTGGTATAAGTGAGTTGACAACGCTTCACCGATAGTCCCATTAGCAAGCCAATCTTCGTCTCTTTCAATCATGTTGATGGTAGCTCCTCCATGATTGGCAATGGGTTAAGGTTCACATTGGGGGCAGGGGCTTGGAGAGTGATGACCCTGTTATCGATCAAGTCTTGAATCTTATGTTTCAGATTGATACATCCTTCTGTATCATGTCCTGCCCCTCCAGAATGGTACGCACAACGTTGATCTGCTCGGAAGAACTTTGTTGTGGGATTAATTGCCCTTGCGTCTACTGGTTGGATCAATCCTGCCGCTTTAGACGCTCAAAGAGTTGGGTACGTGTTTCTGCCAAAGGAGTAAAAACTCTGGGAGGCTTTCTTCGAGGTTAGGCGGGGAAGATTGTTGGCATTTGGGTTGTTTTGTCCGGGATTTTGGTAGACTGGTGCATTGGCTTGGTGATTTGGTAGTATATTTTGGTAGGTTAGTGGTTGATTTTGGTAGATGGGCGGTGGTGCTTGGTAGTTCTGTTGTGCATAGTAGATTGGGATTGGAGCTTGTGGAGATGATGGGTAAATATTTGAGGTGGGGAATCGGTTGGAGTTTCCAAAGGCAGAACCAGACCCAAAATACCCTTGCGGCCTTGGCCTCGGGCTAAAAGATACAGCAGACACGTCCTCTTTCTTTTTCCTAGCGAATCCTGTGGCCATGGATGGTGAGGATTTGTTGGCGGCATGCAAGGCAGTGAGACTTGTAACCTTTCCAGACTTGAGGCCATCTTCTATTGCCTCTCCCATTCTGATCAGCTCCGAAAACTTCTGTCCCATCATAGGCAACATCCTTTCATAATACTCGGGCTCCTGAGCTCGAATAAAAGCAGAGGTTATTTCATTTTCGGTCATCACGGGTTGTACCTTTGCAGCTTCTTTCCTCCAGCGGCACGCATATTCACGATAGTCCTCCGTGGACTTTTGCTTGATTTTTTCCAAATAATATCTGTCAGGGACAGCTTCGACATTAAACTGGAATCTCTCCAAGAAATCTTTGGCCAGAGCCCCCCATGTAGACCACTGACGGAGTTCTTGAGATGTGAACCATTCTAACGCCTCCCCGCTGAGGCTTCGACTAAACAACCTCATAATCAATGCATCATTTTTCCCGATACCCACGAGTTTATCACAATAAGCTCGTAGGTGAGCCATAGGGTTCCCAATACCATTGAAGGTTTCAAATATTGGAATTTTGTAACCTTCGGGTATTTCCAAGTCAGGGTGCATGCAAAGGTCCTCATACTCAAGTCCTGTTATCTTCCTCGAAGATTGGACACTTTTTACTGCCTCGGAGATGGCATCCTTCATGATATTCATTTCTTGTTCACGTTTTTCTTCTCTCAACCTCCACTCCTTCTCCATTTCTTCATAGTGATCCAGCTCCGGCTGAACGGGAAAGCTAGGACATGGTTCAGGGATTGTATAGGCTGGTGGAGTTTGGAATGTTACGGAAGGGTATACAGGCTGGCTAGGCAAAACACGTGGATTATCAGTAGCTGGGGTGGGATTTGGTAGGTTGGTGTGAAGTTTTGGGAGTGATTAGTGTTAAGTGCTTGGTTCTGATTTGGTAATGGTGGTGGTGTTTGGTAGGAAGTGCTGGCGTAAGGAGCATTGGATACAGTTAAATCAATGGTATGAGGATTAGGGGTGGAAGTGATTGGTCCTGTGGTATGGGTAGGGAAATGATTGGGTAATGGGGAACTTAGTGATGGAAAAGGAGGAGGCGGTCTTCTAGTTTCAAGGGGGGGTTCATTCGATGCAATGGCCAGTTTGGCCAGATCTTTGGTCTGTTGAAGCTCTTCCTGCATGTCTGCAATTCGTTGCATTAACTGAGAGATCAACTCACTCTGATCAGCGAGTTCAACATTTCTGATAGTCACATCCACTATTCCTATTTCTTCAGAAGTACCAGTCATTTTGCTCTTGCCTTTCTCCAGAGAATGATCAGGGAAGGATGGTATGATTGCTTTAGATCTTGTAAAGTAGGGATGGTCAGCCAGTTTGATTTCAACACAGATCAGTTTTTACCTGTAGAGAAGAACAACTCAAAAGACATATGTGTTAGTTTTTGTTTTTAATGAGATATGCAAATAAGATGACATAATAATAACCACACAAGTGTCATTTTGCTTCAAGCAGATTAATCCACGAAAATATTTTGGGTGAACGGGAGGACTCAAATGGAAAGAAATTTTTCTTGTAATTGAATTGGAAAGGTGGAAAGGTCGACTTGCATAGAATCTTGCTATTTTCTCCCACTCATATGCTTTTGTAAGTGAAAGTCTTCAGAATCATTCACTAATAAGGGAGAATAAAAATCAAAAAGATAAGGACCGAGCCTTAAGTAGGCTGCCTACGTATCCACCAAGGAAATCAGGTCCAACGTAGTTTGAATTACATAAGATAATCTAAATGTACCCTTCCCAAAATTGATAGAGAGACTAGGCTCGAAAAGAGCTTCCTACGTACCCCCTATGGGATCAAGTCTCGCGTAGTTCTTGATTACAATAAAAATTTAAAAACCACATGACAAACATAAGAAAAGTGTTACATAAACCTAAATCTACCCAAAGGCTTCTCTCCTTCTTCTTCAACTGTAGGGTGACGATCTGGTGCTCTCGTCATCTGAACCTACTTTTGTTTTACCTTTTCCCTCATGGAGGGAGCATTCCCAAAATTTAGTTCCTTAATGTCCCGTTCAATTTCAGGGATCCTTGCAGACGCTTTAGTGATATTAATTATCTCTTGATCAATTTTTGCAATCTTTCTTTTCACCGATGTTGTTTCCATGTCAACCTCAATAATTCTCTCTCGTAGCATCCATTCAGTTTGGTCCAGTATTGCAAGTCTCCTTTTGGCTACAGCTATCCTCTCTCTAGTCTCGACAAATTTTCTGAACATTGACTCTTCAGTTTCTTCATCACTAACCAAAGCAACGGGTGGGATTGGTGCGTTGACACTTTTTCCAGACATTCTAGCAAGTCGACCTTCCTGTGATGGACGAATAAAACTGAGGAGATTTTTAGAGGAGATGGTTTATATATTTCTGAGAAACTTGGGCAACACTTCAGAAGTAATTTGGACGGACTTTGTTGTTGTGAATTTAATATATGCTTAAAGTGCTCTAAGAAACAAAAGTGGATTAATTCTGCTTTAGACAAAGTGACACATCACAACACAAAACAATTATAAGCAACACATAAACAGTTTATATCGCGCCCTAAACTTGTGACCTTTTTACGCCAAAGGTAGGCCTATCGAATTGAAAGATGTATGACGTCATTTGAAACATTTCATTGCCCCAAAACCCAAATTTATACAAGTTTTACGAATAAACTAAATGGGGATACATAATAGGGGAAATGGGATACAAAATATCAGTCCCGCGCAGGGGTACAATCCCAATCTATGCTTCCAAGGAAAGATCATATGTCCTTGATTTCTTGTCATCTTCGAATGTCCACACTCTTGGATGCTATGATAATTTGATCTTCTTCGACTCGAACAAACGAGTAAAACTCAACCCTAAGAGACAATCGTTTGCTAAATGGCGTATACATCCTTCAAATTCAAACACATAAGCATGATTGTCTTTTATTGACCAATGGGCCAAATAGACACAAGGTGGACTTCTAATGGGCCCAAACACGCCTTGGGTGTTGGGTCGACTTAGTTCAAATGCGCTAAATTTGGGATTTGGTTTGGCTCTACACTAGTCTTGACTAAGAGTGAGGTTTATTTGAAGCGGACTGGTGACCCAAGCGGACTACTTGGGCTGGGACAGTTAACGACCGTTGACTATCCAGTAGTCAACTACATTCGTCAGGGTGTCCCGAGAACAATTTGGTTAACGAACGACTGCGGCCCGCATAATCGTCCTTTAAGTGAAAAGAAAGAAAAAAAATGTCATTTGACGGAATAAATGATATGCATGCAATGACAGTTGATATCATAATTTAAGCAAATAAGGCACATTTGAGGTAAAACAATTCAACAAATATTAGCAAATAGTCAAAGAGAGTCAAGTCATTATGGTTAGAACCTAATTAAATCCCCAGCGGAAGTCGCCATTTCTGTTATGCCGTAATTTTCCTAACCTTTAGAAAAATCACTTTTGAAATGTTCTAAGTATAAAACAATTTCAGAAAAATACTTAGAAAAGAGTCGCCACTTAATTTTTTAAAGAAATTAAGAAAACTTATAATTTTCAAAGACTTAAACAGAAAAAATCATTTGAAAAATGTCAAAGAGGGTTCGGGGTTCAATTTACACTTCGAGAAGGGTTTAAGCATTCGAAGTGCCCGCTAACATGCGGTTGACCTGCGACTTGACTAGAATATATTTGACTATTTTAAGAAAATAACGATTTAATATAAAAAATAATAACTTACAATATTTGATTAGTTTTGAGAAAATAATTAAATAAATGACGCATTTTATATTATTTTATTTTTTAGAGAAAGGGATCCAAAATGGAATATTTGACTTGAAAATCAAGTGATTAGAATATTAATAGAATTAGAATAATTAGAATTTATTTTATTCATTTTAAAAATAATAATTTAAACAAATTTGATAAATTAAAGCATGAAAATCATTTTTTAAATTAATTGACTAACCATTTTTTAGAAAATGACTAAGTGTGTGTGTGTATATATATATATATATATATATATTTATTTATTTTATTATTATTTTTTATTATTATTGATTGGAAAGGTTTTGACTAACATTTTTAAAGTTTATTTGAGAAAAATACTTTAGCTTTAAAATAATTTTAAAATGAATAAAATGTGATTAAGTGAAAAGCATTAAGAATATCTCCTTTAAGGACCAAAGGTTTAACTTAATAAAATTTTGATCAATATACTTGATTAATAAAATAAATGAACACAAAAACATGAAAATATATTAAAAATTAAACCAACACAAAGAATATAACTCTTCTTTTGGGGAATTTAATTAAGTTAATTAACAATTCTAAAGTTAGAGTTAATGATAAAAAAAAAACAATAAATAAAATCAATTAAATAAATTAAAGGTAAAGGAGAAATGCATTTGGGCCCCCTTTTTGGGCCAATTTTGCTGAAAATTTTGGCCTTTGAACCAATCCCGTTTTTGTATATATAGACTGTATATCAGTGTATATCGGAATGTATATCAGCTCTTTTCGTGTATCTCCTGCTTCCGAACACCTGTGTTTTACATCGTCTCTGTATTTTTGCATTTTTGGACCTGTAATTCGCTGCATAACGCTGTATACAGCATGTATACAACTCATTGCTTGGGCTTTTGAAATAATTTCCAGCAACCTGTTGGTCTCTGAGGCTTGTGACAGTCTCCGGATATATGGGGGCTGACTCGAGAGAGAGGGAAAGTAAAAATCGAGCCTTTATGGCTCAACTCGAAATGCAAGGTAGATAAGTCCACCATGGACTCGGGAGGGGTTTATGCGACAAAGAAAAGAGCCAAATTAGTATGCTAAATAAGTAAGCAATTAGGACATAATTTAATTAGAATGAAAGAAGCTTAGATATTTTTTTGAGCTAAAAATGTTACCCAAGTCAACTATGAAACCAAATTGGGACCCAAATATCATAAACTTCAATACAAGATAGGAGGCTACAAAAACTAATAGTAAACAAACGAGAAATCATACACAAGGAAATTCCAAGGAGAGGCATGTGCTCGTGTACATATGTGACAATAAAACTTATAAGCAATAACTAACACAACTCAAAAAATCCATAAAGAAACATGTTGCACATTTGACTAAAATTACCTCATATAATAAATGACACTAGATATATCTATGAGGATTTTAAAACTGTCGGCTTTGTTATACTAAAGAGACCAAAATTTGAAACAGTAGCCAATTAACTCATTATAAGCAAAGGAAGAAAATAACTACATTTAAATAACTAAACTAGGCAACATAAGCAAATATGTTAAACAATGGCATAATATAAAACAATGTTCATATCACTGTTGAATATTAACGTTCGAGTAAATAACTAAGTTAAACAACAAGTTAAAAATTAGAAGGATATTTTTAGACTTTGGACAAAGATGGGGAGGGCTATTTTATTTTTTATTCTTTTGGAAAATAAGAGTAATCTTAGTTAAATCGTCACATTAAAATGGTAGAGTTACAAGCATCCCGTCATGAGTTTAAATCCAAAGAGATATATACCACTCAAGTTGATCGAAAACAGAGGATAGATATATCTACCGCGCGAATTCAAACTAGGATTAACAAGGAACCTTCACAATAACAAACCTCAAGGCCATAATTTTTAAAATCTACTCAGCACTCACAAATATGCCTAATTGGATAAGATATTAAAATAAGAACCTAAAGCCATGCTTGGACTAACTAGATCACTGATGACTTAATCCTCAAAATAGCATCAGATTTTCGAACAATGAATTTAAATGAGAGCTTTCAGGACATTTCGATAGTAACAAATTAAAATGTAGGGGTTAGGGCTGTCTCATTATACACAAACCCATATAACTATTTTAAACAAGAATTTCACATTCTGCGGAAAAGAAAAGACATACCTTAACACTTAGATACAATTCTAAGGGAAATTTTAATAAAAGAAACAATCACAATTTCAAGAAATTAGTTAATCTAGCCAAAATACTATTCAAAATAAACACACAAGAACACTTGTCTTCAGTTGAGGGGTAAGGGTGTGAAGCAAAATACATGAAGTTTCTATTGTTTTCTCATTCTCAAACCAAAGCAACAACAGACAGTGAGAAATGAGGACATTGCACCATAAAACTAGCTACTACATCATCCTAATTCATGCATTATAGCACTAAGAGAGTTCAAACGGAAAGAAACAAATATGGATATGCAACTACTTCACCAAACAGAGAACAAATTAACTGAAATAAAAATGAA